TATACATTTGTAGGTACACATAGACAACGTACAGGATGGTTAGTATACCAGAGACATGACAGGCACCAGTACATACAGGTACAAATGGACAATGTACAGGATGGTTAGTATACCAGAGACATGACAGGCACCAGTACATACAGGTACAAATGGACAATGTACAGGATGGTTAGCATACCAGAGACATGACAGGCACCAGTACATACAGGTACACATGGACAACGTACAGGATGGTAAGTATACCTGTGACTCAACAGAGACCAGAACATACCGGTACAAATGGACAACGTACAGGATGGTTATAATACAAGAGTAATGACAGATTGCAGTACATTCAGGTACACATCAACAACGTTCATGATGGTTAGTATACCAAGGACACGATAGGGACCAGTATATGCAAATACACGTGGACAACGTACAGGATGGTTATAATACAAGAGTAATGACAGATTGCAGTACATACAGGTACACATAAACAACGTTCATGATGGTTAGTATACCAATGACACGATAGGGACCAGTATATTCAAATACACATGGACAACGTACAGGATGGTAAGTATACCGGGGAAACGACAGCCACCAGTCCATACATGTACATGTACACATTAACCACGTACCAGATGGTAAGAATACCATTGACACGACAGGTACCAGTACATACAGGTACATATAAACAACGTACATGGTGGTATATACCGGTACACATGGATAACGTACAGGGATGGTAAGTATACCAGAGACACGACAGGAACCAGTACATACAGATACACATGGACACCATACGGGATGGTAAGTATACCAGAGACACGACAGGTACCAGCACATACAGGTAAACATGAACAACGTACATGGTGGTAAGTATACCAGAGACACGACAGGGACCAGTACATATAGGTACACATGGACACCATACAGGATGGTAAGTATACCAGAGACACGACAGGAACCAGCACATACAGGTAAACATGAACAACGTACATGGTGGTAAGTATACCAGAGACACAACAGAAACCAGTACATACCGTTACACATTGACAACGTACAGCATGGTAAGTATACCAGAGACACGATAGGGACCAGTACATACAGGTAGACATGGACAACGTACAGGATGGTAAGTAGACCAGAGACTCGTCAGGAACCAGCACATACAGGTAAACATGGACAACGTACATGGTGGTAAGTATACCAGAGACCCAACAGGGACCAGTACATACAGTTACACATGGACAACGTTCATGATGGTAAGTATACCAGAGACACGACAGGAACCAGTACATATAGGTACACATGGACAACGTACAGGATGGTAAGTATACCAGAGACACGACATGGACCAGTACACACAGGTACACATGGACAACGTACAGGATGGTAAGTATACCAGAGACACGACAGGGACCAGTACATACGGGTACACATGGACAACGTACACGATGGTAAGTATACCAGAGACACGACATGGACCAGTACATACAAGTACACATGGACAACGTACATGATGGTAAGTGTACCAGAGACAAAACAAGGACCAGTACATACAAGTACACATGGACAACGTACATGATGGTAAGTATACCTGAGACAAAACAATGACCAGCACATATAGGTACACATGGACAACGTACAGGATGGTTAGTATACTTGAGACAAAACAAGGACCAGTACATACAGGTACACATGGACAACGTACACGATGGTAAGTATACCAGAGACACGACAGGGACCAGTACACCCAGGCACACATGGACAACGTACAGGATGGTAAGTGTACCTGAGACACAACAGGGACCAGTATATACAGGTACACACGGACAACGTACAGGATGGTAAGTATACCAGAGACACGACAGGAACCAGCACATACAGGTACATATGGACAACGTACATGATGGTAAGTATACCAGAGACACGACAGGGATCAGTACATACAAGTAAAAATTGAAAACGTACAGGATGGTAAGTGTACCTGAGACACAACACAGACCAGTACATATACATTTGTAGGTACACATAGACAACGTACAGGATGGTTAGTATACCAGAGACATGACAGGCACCAGTACATATCGTTACACATTGAAAACGTACAGGATGGTAAGTATACCAGAGACATGACAGGCACCAGTACATATCGTTACACATTGAAAACGTACAGCATGGTAAGTATACCAGAGACACGACAGGGACCAGTACATACAGGTACACATGGACAACGTACAGGGTGGTAAGTATACCAGAGACATGACAGGCACCAGTACATATCGTTACACATTGACAACGTACAGCATGGTAAGTATACCAGAGACACGACAGGGACCAGCACATACAGGTACACATGGACAACGTACAGGATGGTAAGTATACCTGTGACATAACAGAGACCAGAACATACAGGTACAAATGGACAACGTACAGGATGGTTATAATACAAGAGTAATGACAGATTGCAGTACATACAGGTACACATAAACAACGTTCAGGATGGTTAGTATACCAATGACACGATAGGGCCCAGTATATGCAAATACACGTGGACAACGTACAGGATGGTAAGTATACCGGGGAAACGACAGCCACCAGTCCAAACATGTAAATATACACGTTAACCACGTACCAGATGGTAAGAATACCAGAGACACGACAGGAACAAGTACATACAAGTACACATGGACACCATACAGGATGGTAAGTATACCTGAGACAAAACAAGGACCAGTACATACAGGTACACATGGACAGCGTACAGGATGGTAAGTATACCAGAGACACGACAGGAACCAGTACATACAGATACACATGGACAACGTACAGCATGGTAAGTTGTACATGTACACATTAACCACGTACCAGATGGTAAGAATACCAGAGACACAACAGGGACCAGTACATAGAGATACACATGGACACCATACAGCATGGTAAGTGTACCAGAGACACGACAGGTACAACGTACAGGATGGTAAAGAGACACGACAGGAACCAGCACATACAGGTAAACATGAACAACGTACATGGTGGTAAGTATATCAGAGACCCAACAGGGACCAGTACATACAGATACACATGGACACCATACAGGATGGTAAGTGTACCAGAGACAAAACAAGGACCAGTACATACAAGTACACATGGACAACGTACATGATGGTAAGTATACCTGAGACAAAACAATGACAAGTACATATAGGTACACATGGACAACGTACAGGATGGTTAGTATACTTGAGACAAAACAAGGACCAGTACATACAGTTACACATAAACAACGTTCATGATGGTTAGTATACCAATGACACGATAGGGACCAGTATATGCAAATACACGTGGACAACGTACAGGATGGTAAGTATACCGGGGAAACGACAGCCACCAGTCCATACATGTAAATGTACACGTTAACCACGTACCAGATGGTAAGAATACTATTGACACGACAGGTACCAGTACATACAGGTACATATAAACAACATACAGGGTGGTATATACCGGTACACATGGATAAAGTACAGGGATGGTAAGTATACCAGAGACACGACAGGAACCAGTACATACAGATACACATGGACACCATACAGGATGGTAAGTATACCAGAGGCATGTCAGGGACCAGTACATACAGGTACACATGGACAACGTACATGGTGGTAAGTATACCAGAGACACGACAGGAACCAGTACATACAGATACACATGGACACCATACAGGATGGTAAGTATACCAGAGGAATGTCAGGGACCAGTACATACAGGTACACATGGAAAACGGACAGAATGATAAGTATACCAGAGGCACGACAGGTACCAGTACATACAGGTACACATGGACAACGTACAGAATGGTAAGGATACCAGAGACACGACAGGGACCAGTACATACAGGTACACATGGAAAACGTACAGAATGATAAGTATACCAGAGGCACGACAGGGACCAGTACTTACAGGTATACATGGACAACGTACGGGATGGTAAGTATACTTGAGACACGAAAGGTACCAGTATATACAGGTAAAAATGGAAAACGTACACCGTGGTAATTATACCTGACACACGACAGAGACCAGTACATACAGGTTCACATAGACAGCGTACAGGATGGTAAGTATACCAGAGACACGACAGGTACCAGTACTTACAGATACATATAAACAACGTACTGAATGGTAAGTATACCAGAGACACGACAGGGAACAGTACATTTAGATACACATAGACAACGTACAGGATGGTAAGTATACCAGAGACACGACAGGTACCAGTACTTACAGGGACACATGGACAACGTACAGGATGGTATGTATACCGGAGACATGACAGGGGCCAGTACAAAAAAGATACACATACACAACATACAGGATGGTATGTATACCAGAGACACGACAGGTACCAATACATACAGATACATATAAACAACGTACTGAATGGTAAGTATACCAGAGACACGACAAGGACCAGTACATATAGGTACACATAGACAACGTACAGGCTGGTAAGTATACCAGAGACAAGACAGGGACCAGTACATATAGGTACAAATAGACAGCGTACAGGATGGTAAGTGTACCAGAGACACGACAGGTACCAATACATACAGATACATATAAACAACGTACTGAATGGTAAGTATACCAGAGACCCGACAGGGAACAGTACATATAGGTACACATAGACAGCGAACAGGATGGTAAGTATACCAGAGACACGACAGGGAACAGTACATATAGGTACACATAGACAACGTACAGGATGGTAAGTATACCAGAGACAAGACAGGGACCAGTACATATAGGTACAAATAGACAGCGTACAGGATGGTAAGTGTACCAGAGACACGACAGGGACCAGTACATATAGGGACACATAGACAACGTACAGGATGGTAAGTAGACCAGAGACTCGACAGGAACCAGCACATACAGGTAAACATGAACAACGTACATGGTGGTAAGTATAGCAGATACCCAAGAGGGACCAGTACATACAGATACACATGGACACCATACAGGATGGTAAGTATACCAGAGACAAGACAGGGACCAGTACATATAGGTACAAATAGACAGCGTACAGGATGGTAAGTGTAACAGAGACACGACAGGTACAAATACATACAGATACATATAAACAACGTACTGAATGGTAAGTATACCAAAGACACGACAAGGACCAGTACATATAGGTACCCATAGACAACGTACAGGATGGTAAGTATACAAGAGAAACGTCAGGGACCAGTACACCCAGGTACACATGGACAACGGACTGAATGGTAAGTATACCAGAGACACGACAGGTACCAATACATACAGAAAAATATAAACAACGTACTGAATGGTAAGTATACCAGAGACACGACAAGGACCATTACATATAGGTACACATAGACAACGTACAGGATGGAAAGTATACCAGAGACACGACAGGGACCAGTACATATAGGTACACATAGACAACGTACAGGATGGTAAGTAGACCAGAGAAACGACAGGGACCAGTACATACAGGTACACATGGACCAGTACATAAAGATACAGATGTGAACAATATACAGAACATAAAACTTTAATAAAGTATATACAGGTACTGGTAAGGACCAGTGAAAGTTGCTATTTATTTTGCTGATGTAGTGATATTTTGTTTACTTCATAGGCCTGATAAAGATATTTTAAAAAGAAATAGTTTGTGATCATTAGAGTTATAGATCTTTTTGTATTTTTTCAACTACTTCTTATGCATGGCGCATAAAAATGAATCTGATTATTGTGTACATCTTAAACACATTCTTAAATATATAATATAAGCAGTTAGAATGTTATAATGACATGGGGTTTAATCGCTGTTTTGGGTATCGAAGACCTGAAGTCCTGAGCAAGGAATACTGAAAACTCACAGGTTAGCAACATTTAGGCACCGTTCACAGCCTAACACAAAACAACTGCATTTTCGTTTAAAAAGAAGGCTGGCAAACAATTTGCTATTTTTCCTCCACAATTTGGCTGTAATAGAGCTGAAACTCATTTAAGATATAATATGTATGTCATAACCCTACCATAGTCAAATGACATTCAAAAGACTTTAAATGTAACGGCCCACGTATTAACATATTTTTTATTATAACGTAATAAACCACTGACTCTTCACACTAGGTATTTGTTCTATTATTAATTAAGCATACACGATACTACACTAATTTGAAGCAAATGCTAGTTTTTTTCTAATATTTTCCATGATATAAGAATACCACAAAACTGGTCATGTGAATAAAACAGCTTTACATGCAGAAAAAAAAGAGAGCATTATAATGTTAGCTTGCAAAGCTGTTACATTTATTTAGACTTTAAATGCCATATCAACACAGTTATTTTAGTAAACACATTGTTATAATAATAATGTGTAAAAACTTATTCACAAATCATAAATAAAATCACAAAAGCTATGACATTGATTCAATGCTACATAAAATATGCATATTAGCTGTTTTACATTATCGTTTCGATGTCGTATATTACTATTCTAGCTGCGATACCTCACTTTAAAGTGATACAGCCCGGCGAGACAGACCTGCTCGGTTTGCCGTATGACTTCCATTCTGTCACCCACTACGGACCGTACCAGTACGCTATCAATACATCTCTACCCACCATTACCACTAATGTGTCCGGGTTCAGCTTCGACAAGAGGGACACCCTCAGTTTCTACGATGTCCTTAAAGTACAGACGTTATACAAATGTCCCAAAGGTATTTAGCTCTGAAAGTCAACTACACAAAATGACTGTATATCACATATTCTGGATGATACTATAGGGAAAACATAGTTGTAAAACATTATTGTTCAGAACTCATTTTGTGAAGAACCCATTAGCCTTATCTACTGTCGACAGATTGGAACAACAAATGCTGAATGATGTATATACGATTGGTAGTGTATGGTGAAATCATCTTTCGTTGGCTCCGTCATTTTGTCTATCACTGTTTAAAGTTTCGTGAAACAAAATAGCATAAATCAAGTATAATTATTCATAAGCGTTTGGCAGGAATTATATTAACAATATCAGGAAAACTGCAAAAAAACGAATACCGTACAAGTCTGTATATGATACCGCACATTTTCACTCAGACTGAATCAGTTTGTAATAAGAATCCAGTCGTTGAGATGATTCAACCGTGGTATATTATGCAAAGCGTCATTTTATAAAGAGGATGCCATACAAACACTGGTCAAATCTATCTGTATCAGACTAGACGGGATTCGATACATTATAAATTATACATATGTTTTGCTTGTACTTCGGTAATCTCTCGTTTATCTGTATACACTTGTCGAATGTGTGTCCTGGTAACAAAACGTAGGAATGTGTAAACAATGAGAACTTACTGTTAATATGTTTAGTGTGGCACATCGTCCAATATTGTCAATAAATCAATGTTTAAACGTATCATAACCTCATATTTTTTAAGAACCAGGATTGCGTCAATAAATTGCGTCAATTCAACCTGTAACGACATATATAACGATTCCTATTATTCCTGTTTCAGGTTATACTATGTTTGACAAGGATGTCAATCGCTTTAATCAAACGCCTGCTGATAGGTACTACCCACAATGGAGCTTCACCTCTGACAAACTCCGGGATTACATGAACACCACCTGTGACAGAGAAGGTAAGATAATGATGTTGGTTGTTATATGTTAGAAAACATGTGATCAAATACCGCCTTTGGTATTTGTTTATTTATAGAGAGAAGACAATAAAGTTATTGGAAGATATATGGTGATTGACGTGCAACAATGTTTTATCTGTTTTCCACACCTACCTTGCTAACATTTGAGGATGATTCGATACTCAAGGTTTTCGCTCTGAATAATGCAAATTCCATGGTACAAATGTATCTAGTGTTGACATTCAATTTATAATACTTAATTTCGAAAACAACATTAACATGAGGACTATGGAATGTATTGCTCTCTATCCTTATCTCATTGGCTTAAGCTCAAATGTTTCTCGTGGTTTCGTAGTCATTGTTATGTTTTCCTTTTTAGAATATGCCATCCTTGGAGTTGACCTAGGTGTACATGGTTGGCTTCGTAAATGAAGCAGAAAACGCTTTCATTTTATGACAACATGGTCGTATTTTCCTTGTACTTGATGTTATTTGAGTAAATTTTTCTTTTCTGTAAATGTTACTGTTTATTACATTGCGATGTTTTCTGACGTCTATTCATTCCGTCAATACCTTTCAGGTAATTACACATTGACCGCGTTAAATGGCGCCAAATGGATAAGTAAGTTCCCTTTACCACCATCGGGTAACTTTTGTGTTTCTGTGTGTATCTGCATCGCGTCCTCCTCCTCCAAGATAAAATCATACATACAACTCACCACGATGGAAGGACTCGATATATCCAAACTCAACTACACTCAACCGAGCGGGCACTGGGACAGGATGAACACGACGTACACCTCAGAACAGGAATGGACAGTATGTTTTTAACTAATTGGTATATAGTTTTAGTCTTGAAGAAATCAGTATGACATGTTGCAGCAACTTATCCTTTCATTGTATCTCAACCGGAAATGAACAATATCATGAATGTTCGTCTCTGATACTGGCAATAGGAATGATTATTTGTGTTATTTTGTTTTATGTTCATTTTTAGATGTTGGTGAAAGCTCACATCATGTGGGGAGGAGATGTACTGGCTCTAAGCAACATGGTCATCACTAACGGCGTGTGTGGCATGTAAGAGGGACCTTGTCTGCAGTAAGCTGTCCGTTATTCCGCTTTCCGCTCGCTTGTTTTGTTTTGGGCAATGGATGAGGTTTGAAGTTAAGAATTCGTTATTTACTTAAGGCTACAGGACGCCGTTATTAAGGCTACTGGAACTTTGCTATTAAAAGTGTGTTTAACTGTGAATTATACAAGTATATCAGTGTATGTTACGCAATTAGTCTAAGTATCATATGCTATCCAAGATTTCTTTTCTAATGTTTCGTTGAATATTATATAGAAAAAATGTACAACCGTATTTGCACTTGAATGACCAATGAATTCACTTTTCCATAATAAATGTCAATCTACTCTGAATTTACTTCTCCAAAATTGATGTCTATCTACTCTGAATTCACTTTTCCATAGTTGATGTCAATCTACTCTGAATTTACTTTTCCAAAATTGATGTTCATCCACTCTGAATTTACTTTTCCATAATTGATGTCAATCTACTCTGAATTTACTTTTCCAAAATTGATGTTCATCTACTCTGAATTTACTTTTCCATAATTGATGTCAATCTTCTCTGAATTTACTTTTCCATAATTGATGTTCATCTTCTCTCTAAATATGACATCTTCTAGAAATGAATTATAGATTGTTCATGTATTCTCACTGTTTGATTTAATTTCAGCAAGTAAATGTAAGATAAAATAAGCTGCCAAGAAGTCTTTGTATGACATAGATTAAGGATCACTATCTCACTGCGCCTGCCGTTCCTCCTTAACACATGGATATAACTAAAGATCATTTTGGCTCGTACACTTCCCTAACGTTATCTAGTTAGGTCAGTCGGTTTCAGCAATAACATAACAATCTGACATAAATGGGTTCGAATCCGCAAACAATATCTTTAACATTCAGAAGCGCCACATATGTGTGATATGTTAACACTTTATCCGCCTCCGGTGCTTCCCCATGCGTGTAAGCCTTCTGGGAAATTGAGGCCACAAACCCATGCGTAAAATATCGCAAAATCTTTATTTGATAAAAACATAACTTCAATGCAGGAAGGTATACAAAATGCCATTTTTTAACATGTGAAGAATATTGTCCAATCCAAACGGTATGTTCTATTTACTGCATAGATAGGGTTAGGGTTAGGGTTCAAAATGGCACTCTGTTTTGTTTTCAAGTGTGACATCATTAGAAACAGGAGTCAGTAAGTCATTTTCATAAAAAGGTTTGGTGTCCAGTAGATTTGCTGCATTTCTTTGTTGATTCTTTTTTGTTTATTTCATCTCCATAATGTTTTCATAAAAAACCCACAAGTTATACTTTTCTTTTTAAAACTGATTTATAAATGCTATAGTCATGCCAAATAGTGAGGTTACGAATGCATAGTTTCATTTCTTGGCAGTGGAACGGGGATCCCTAAGTCATTTAAGTATTGGTAGTGATTCTGTATTTGTATTCGATTTGGACTGTTTTTAATGAAGCTGTCAACAAGTCTGTGTATGACAGGGATTAGAAGGTTATTTAATTTCAATAAGTAGTGTCACGGACTTAATCAAGTAATTACATAACCAGCCAGTATGTATATGTATCTTGTGAAAGATTGGATCAAGTTGTTTAATATTGTTTAAATCTGTATACGATCTGAATCGAATTTATAAGTTATCAACCATCTTGTTTGGACTAAATCAAGTTATCGAATATATGTGTTTTATTACTATAAACAGGCTCTTTTTTTAATATATCTTAACAGTATGATGAATTGACCAACATTGTGAAAATCTCGTTTTAGAACAACGTAAAGGCGAATTATAGAAAGTTATCCATGTGTGAGGAATAAGGTTTGATGTAATATACAAACATAGTTTTTGACTTCAAACACTGTTGGATAGACACCATTTTCTCCTTCCCTTCACAAGTGTGTCTCCCGTTTTTGCCGGGAAAGATCAGCTTGTCACCCCCTAGGGGGAGATAGCCTCGTGCCGATTAGCACGTTTTCGACTGTGACGTCATTATAATGCGCCATCGGTAATTGTGACGTCATCAAAAGTGAATGACGATATGCATACCCCACATGTGTTTTTGTTTACAAACATGGCAGACTACTGTCGGTGGAGCTGTGACACCGACAAAATATAGGATGTCTCGGGGTGATTTTTTGGTTGTCTAACCCTCAGCAGAGCCTCGGGTTAGACAACCAAAAACATCACCCGTCGGGTTTGAGATTTCTCTGTCACACCCTTAAGGTAGGGGAAGATTATATTAGTCGTTTAATAAGCCTCAGTTAAGATTAAACATGTCGATATCACTTCCTGTTTGTATAATTTGTGACGTTTGACTATGACCAGTATTTCCCTGTGGCATTTTACACATAAATATATACATTTTGTGTTTATTGGTACAGCATGTTGTCCAATAATTTTGAAAGAGGCAATCTAACTTAGGAACATATTGGTCGATACAATTACAGTGATATAACAACAAAAATAATGAAATATTTTGTTAAGTTCACATAAAGAATATGTTGTACCGTTAAAGGAAAACATAATCAACAAATCTGCTTTTAATATATTTTAATACTTTGACATATAACGGAGATGTAAAATCCAAGACCGAGCCATATTGATTTCATAATTGTTGCCATGCATGTTAATAATTCTTTAATAAAATCAATCATCATTGTATTGTGTTACTGTTGTATTTAACAAGTGGCTAATGACCAATACTATCTGGTACAACATTGAAAAACGGTTTAAGAAGTTTGAATAATGTGACCTTCGGAAAGTCTGTTCATATTTATTGACTCCCCTCCTTCCCTCCTCCCCACTATAATGTCACTATTTCTGCTAATTCGAACGTTATTGTGATCTAAGCTATCCTTTTCTTATTTTACCACGGCGTGGTTATGGAACACCCCGGTAAAGAAGACGCGATGCAGATACACACACTATCCAGAGAGCCAAAACAATATACATATGTATATAAACAATGGGTTACCACTGTCTCTATAAAGGTACAATACAAGCTAACCTATAGTTGTCAAATATGTAAAAGTAAATAATTTCTGTGTAAAAAATACGCTCCAATCATTTCGTACAAGACCGAAAAATAGAGATAAAGAGTGAAAACATCGAGTTATCCAGAAAGCTTATGTTCCTATGACCTGATGAATGATGAGAAATTGAATTTCATTCCTTATTTATTCACAGTTTAACCAGATGCAAACATTTATAAAAAAAGAGGTTCTTTTTTCTGTTTATATACGGGGGCAACATTGTAGAGAGAACAGTGTGTTTCGCGGGAAAATTCAAATAATTCGCTAGGTTCCTACATTGTAGCAATAGCAGTAACTATAGTATCGTAAAATATAGTTCTATTTTCAAACTTTAATTTGTAGAATTGATACATGTCGTATGTTACTATCTTATACTGAACACACTTTATTTTAGTTTTAAAATCAATCCAGTCAAGTTTAGTGTTATTCATCTTAGCATAACAAAACTACATCAAGGGATGTTTCATGGCGGACGTGGACCAAGTACGCCCTGTGCTACGTCATGAGGCACAGCTACATCGGCAGGTCGACGAAATTGAATCTTCAGCCATGAATCACTGAATTTGACAGGAAAAGGAAGCGGAATATTTTAGGAATGAAATTGGGTCGTCCCGGATGAGTGGCGTTTGTAGTGTCATTTTTGTCAATGAGTCCACGCATACAGAGTGGTAATATTGACGCGTATTACTGAAATTGACTAAACAGTAGCAACGGTAATATACTGAAACTAAAGCCGAAATATTTAAGGTGATTAAATGTTTTGGATTTGAATGTTATATACAATATTATATACCTGTTGTTGCCTTTGACCTCGCTTTAGCAGTATGTACAGTTAAAAGCAAGCGCTCCTTTAAACTTTGACAAATTTCATTGTCTGCACTGTCCTATTTATTTCTTTGCCAATCTATGTATAAATAGAGTTGTCTTAAACTGATTCATTTGGTAGACGTCATTTTCGTCACAAATTTCTAGTGCGGTTCTCGAAGTTTTCCATCTAACCCAGATAGTAATTCGTATTTACAACATGGTATCAGTATTTTATATCAAGTTGCTGTCACATTACCCCACATTTTAATCTTTGACCTCTGTTTACTACCTTTATGTCGAATGGGAGTGAACCCGTCCCACATTTTGAAGTACAGATACATCCCATCTTTCGTGGTAAATATATTCATGGTAAATATATCCAGAAAGCTAATGTTCTTATGACCTCATAAATGATGAAAACTTTAATTTCATTCCTTATATATTCACAGTTTTACCCGATGCAAAAATAAATTTTAAAAAACAGTTTTTTCTTTTTTATGTTTATATATGGTGGCAACAGTGTAGAGAGAACAGTGTGTTTCGCGGGAAAATTCAAAACTTTCGCTAGTGTCTACATTGTAGCAACAACATGAAAACAAAACAAACAAAATATAATTCCATTTTCAAACTTTAATTTGTAGAGTTGATACATGTCGTATGTTATTATCATATACTGAACACACCTTATTTTTGTTTAAAAATCAATCCAGTCAAGTTTAGTGTTATTCATCTTAGCATAAAAAAAACTACATCGAGGGATGTTTCATGGCGGACGTGGAACAAGTACGCTCTGTGCTACGTCATAAGGCCCGGCATTTTTTTACAAACAGCCTGGTCACACAGCTTCATCGGCAGGTCATCGAAGTTGAAACTGCAGCCACGATAATATACTGAAACTGAAGGGTAAACATTTGAGATAATAGTTCGTATCTACAACATTGTACCGGCATTTGTTATCCAGTTACTGTCACATTACCCCACATTTTAATCTTTGACCTCTGTTTACTACCTGGTCGTATGTGAATGAACCTGTCCGCCATTTTGAAGTACAGACACCCCATCTCTCTTGGTAGATACATCCCCTCTCTCGCAGGGTTTTTCAGGTAACTTTGCTTTCGATTTACTGGTTAGTGGTTAGGGGCGAGGGACACTTTAATCCAATCACTGGTCTTTCCTTAAATGCCCGACAAATATTACTTAGATCTAGAATCTCTTAATTTTGTATCTCGTTATTCAAGATAGAATGTATTCAACTTAAAGCGTACAGTTTGTCCAGTTTTAATTATGAAGGTACAGTGTACACTGTAGCTACATATTAAACGCTAATTACATTATATATACATAGCGTTAGTATAATAATAGTAAATTAGGCGATAATAGCTATCAGCAGTGCACTTTCATATATGGTAGCTATTCCGATCAAATGGTTAAAGAATAAAACGTTTGTTAAGATTCATTTAAGTAACACTATCTCGAACAGTAAGAGTTTGATTGAAAAAAAGTGTTTGATTTCCTTTTTATGATGGAAGATATCGAAATTTCGAAGAATCATTTGTTCGACATTGTGTGTGTGAATAAAGAGTGTGTATGTTTTGAGATGTAGTAGGAGATGAAATATTGTTTTTATTACTGACAATGATACCTGGTGAAATGCTTAGATAGCACACTTGTAAAAGAAACAATTTATCATTGGTTGTTTTTGCTTTTCCTTTCTTATTAATTTCTTTTTAAATTATATATAAGAATGATTTTCTTTTTTCGCGTATATGGAAGACCTAGATTAACTTCCCATGGGATCAGTTTCAAAGATATCTATGTTACCAATGAACAGTATGTTATCAAAACCTTCCGTGTTATGTTTACATCCAACAAAGCATACTGTTTACCGACTTAGGACAAAATAACTCTTACTTGGGGACAAGTACAAAATGACCAACACGCTTAAGGTGGGTCCATACGTTTGGAAAACCAGTGTCATTTTTTCCTAACTAGGTTTATTTTCTTGCTTGTTTTACGTAGATTCCCATATATGAAAAGAACAAATAGGGTTCTCGACTTACTTTTTTTGAGATATTTGAGCTGAAAGGTAGCCACTTTTCTGAAAAGACGCATGTCAATTTTATAAAAATATGACAGAAGACAGCCAAGAATATATGCTTTTCGGTAAAAAAAAGGTGTGGGGTTCTCGGTGTGCAATTTTGCTCACTTGAAGTTAGAACTAGGTAAAAGGCAAAATTATGTCACATCATTAACTATACTGTCAAACATAAGGATTCTTTATCGTGTCCGAACACTTATAATTTATATATCTTAAAATCAAGTAGCATTAATGCTCGGAAAATAAATAAAAGTCAATATTTCGAAGTTTCTTTCCGTATTCCGGATCTTTGGACTGCCTCCGGGTTCGGTATTATAAACGTCTAATTATTGCTGCAGATGTATCGTAACATAGACAATCGAGTTCAAAACCCGGTACAGTGTTACAGACTACGAGTGGAATATGTCGTTTCTGCGATACAAGTTTCCGGAACTAAAAAAATAGTGTTGCAAATTATGTTGGTCATATGTCTTACATTTTTTTGTATACACTGAACGTTTAAGACTCCTGTCGTCAAAATAATGTTTTTAATAGCTGATTTTAGTACATGACAATTCCATGTATAAATACAATTACAAATGTTAGACATACACTGTGTTTTCATACATTCGAGCACTTGTCTACCTTGTTATTGCTCTTTTGGTCACACAGAGCATCACATATCAATATCTTGTTTGACCATCATCTAAACATACAGGCTGTTAAAGCAATTCCAGTAGTATAATTCACAGCAGGTGATTTTTACTTTTAAGATTTTTTGAGATGCACACAGTCAAATACATTCAATCCGAGGCCGACACATACAAGAAGGAAGACAATTCTAGTCCCAAGTATGGGTTTCTGGGACTTATATGAGGAGGCGGTGGGCAGGTGGTTGCACATTTACAAGATATAAGTATACATTGAATGTTTTCTATAAACTGTAAAGTATCAGCACGTTAAAACTGCTGATTGTGCTTTCTCACCGCGGTGTTCTTAACAGACATATTGTATTGGATCTCTGTGCTGGATGATGTGATTGTAGTAGTAGGTCACGGTATAATTATATTTGGTTAAAT